ATTAGAGAAAATTAAATTTTTGAGCTATTATTAATTCTCTATGGAAAGCACTTCATTTGTTCCAATAATAAGGGAAAGGTAAATATTTGGAGCCAAATACATGGGAATATCTCTGTTCATACATAGGAATGTCTCTGTTAATTGTGTTAGCTCTAAAGCTAGCAGTCATCAAACACAATGGCTGAGACTATTATTGTAACAATTTTCAAACATTGAAAGCTATCAAGAAGTGTAATCAAATGGCACTCTGAAAGGAAGAAAGTTTTTTTTTTATTTTTGCTCTTAAGCTTATACGTTTCATGCATTTTTATGCAAAAACAATTTTTTACATTAATCATAAATGCCTTGACCTCTGGATATTTTTGTTATATTTTACAAATACATGCATAAACAAAGGCAAATACAAACCAATTTGTGTTTTTTGAGACATATTTAGCTTTGATCAAAGTTGGGGGTTTTTTATTTGTGTGAGGAAGATATGTATTTTTTGTTTGTGTTCAGTGGTGACCAGAAAGCTTTACATGAGCTTCTTATTCAAAACACCAAGGCACACATGCTGTAAGAAGATTTTCAGCTTTTCCTTATATTGTCTGGAGGGGAAAAGAAGTGTAAGTACTTAGGATAAATATAAGCACTTCTTTGGCAAGTATTTATGTTGACACATGCCAGCAAAGCCTCACAGATTGTTGTTCTCAAAACCAGTAATCATGCTAAATAGTTATGGTCCTTTCTGTTTGGGACACACCACCTCCTTTTCATTGATTTCATTTATTTCAGGTATTTTTAATTTTATTTTATGGGATTTCGAGGAGTCTTAAAGATGACAGTGTCATAAACACACTTTTAGTGCAGAAAGGTATTTTTAACTAAAAAATGGTCAATTATATATTTGCTAAGAATGATCATCACCTAATATTGAACAAGTTACAAACAGGAGGAAACTCCTATGAAGTTATGTGTGGGGTTTTGTTCTAATTTATATTTGTTTGTAGTAAAAAATGGTGAATCAAAATGAAATTTCTCTCAGTCTCCATCAGATACTATAGCAGCTCACCACGGGCTATTCACATCTCTCCTGTCTTTAATGGCCATGACTTTTTTGTATAGAAGACAGAGATTCTGCTTCATTCTGGTTTAGGTTAGATTTATCCTGGCATTCATTTGTACTCCTTTTAGACTACACTTTTGTAATGTTTTAGAAATTAAAGGCTCATAATGAATTTGGCTTTCAGCAGGAGGGCTAGGACCAGAAATAGAAAGGGTGAAAAATTTCTCGGTAAGTCTAACAAGGCTGAACATACATTCAGCTGGGGTTCAGCTGTGCAGGACACAGCAAAAGAAAGAAATGTAGGAGGAAAGTACCAGGTCTAGCAGCTGTCTGTTTTGGAACACAAAGATAACAGGCCAAGGCTGTTATATTGCTCAGCAGAGCCACTCAGAAAATCTTCACCAGACTGACCTCAGAAACATGTTCCCAACCTATGACAAAACCCAAAATAACCTTACAGTTGCTTGTGAAATGGTACCAAGGAACTACAGAGAACCAGTCCCCAAGTCTAACATATATACAGAGATTCTCCTTTTCTAAAGAAATTGATGTGTTGTTTGATCCATGTTAAAAAGTATTTGTCAAGAGTAAAAATATAACTGCAACACAACATCATTTTAAACAGTTATGCAGGCAGAATGTATGGAAAATAAAATTGCATTTATGGCTATGCATTGTAAAACATATCTATGTTAGCTACAAATATGTTTGAGGCAAGTTTTCAGTATTTAAAATATTTCAAATAATATTAAATTGGTAGATAATCAAACCCAGGAAAAGCACATCCTCTATAGTAATGTAGGGTCAGTTTTGTCCCTGCTGCATTACTCTTTCTGTGATCTTGAATACAGCTGGGAGGAAGGCAAGCAGAAGGAGGAGGAGGAGGAAGAGGAGGAGGAGGAGGAGGATTGCATGTGGAGAAACAGAAGAAATGAATGTTTCAGTGCCTGGCCTTCACAGAACTCCTTGAAGTTTGTGCAGAAGTCTTTGGCCTCCTCCACTGCCATTGTGCGCTCCAGAAGTGCCCTCCTTCCAATTCAGCATAGGAAAGGCCTCTTTCCTTCTTCCTTTTCATCTACATCTCCCAAAGACTGAGCAGAAAGAGGAGGCTCTTGTAACTCCTAGGCATGCAATCCAGTAGGATTCTCTGAATGAAATATAATGTGTGACGAGTTTCTGTAACTAGCCAAGAGGCAGTAGTACCTCCTGCAGTGTTTTAAATGTGGGCAAAATGTACCACAGGAAAAGCTGATTGTTTCAGACCAGACCAGCGTGCAGCCTTTGTACTGGGTCAGTCCAGCCCCATAGGTAGAAATGGTTGCTGCTGCACTGGACAAATTCTGCAGTCATTATGTGGACCTTGTTGGGAAGTGAAAGAAATTAAATGAAAGAAAAGTCATAGAAATGGGACGAAACCATTTTTTTTCCTGCAGCTCTTGCAGGCTGTTCCTCTGAAGTTCTTTTTCTATCTAATCCAAAAAGTGGACAAAGTTCATTTCAGCATTAGCAAGCTAAAATCAAGTCTCAGCTGAGACTAATTTGCATGAATCATGAAAGTAATTTTCAAGGGTGGTATTTTATTATTTTTTTTTAGGTAAATGCTGACATTTTGATTTTTCTGGAGCACTGCCTATGACCCTCTTGACTTTGTTTTGTGCTTTAAAGTTCAAACTAGTGACCAGTTGGGAACAGGTTTAGAGGTCCCTGACTGCTGGGGTAGGAACTTAGGACTGAAAATTATTTAGTCTGGAAAGCAATCAGGATGGTATTTTCAGAATAATAAATCAAACTCACACCTCTGGACAGACAGGACATGGAGATCAAGATCACTGATTTTTGTGCCCCTGCCCTGATGAGCAGAACTGTCACAACAGCCCATTGTCGACCTTCTACCAATCTCAAGCTGACATTGCCATCATTCAGGTCCAAGTGACATTGATTTGTCTGGACTGCTTTATAAGCAAGCAAAGCAATGAAAAATACCATTTTACATTTCTACAGCTAAACAGGTTTTCCAGAGAAATCCAGTGAAGATGGGCCTGCCTTTCAGCCACCTGAAAACACCATCCAAAGGCTGCTGGGCAGACCAGCACCCACATTATGATTTTTAAGTTATTCATCAGCATCGTCATTCCTGAGACACTCGCACATGACAAACTCGGGGTGCCCCATTCCTCCAGCTGTTCTGGGAGGCTGCTCCACTGCAACTCCTAGCCCTGACAGAAACATGGAAGGCTCATTAGGGCAAGATCTTAATGTTCCCATCTACAAGCAGCCTTGGAATAAATCCAGAAGAAAACAAGATTTTATTTTTTTTCCAGATGGCAGTGCACTCTCAGGTGTACAAAAGCCAAGGGCGCGCAGCCAGCTCCAAGTGCAAGGCCCTCAGGGCACTGCAGGGCAGAAGTGGCTTGGCAGGTGGACGTCTTTGGGCAGGGGGACAAGGTAGTGCCATCTTTTTTCCGTCCCGTGGGGCAGCACTGTGGCATCCTCGTGGGCTTTTAAAGAAAGCTTTGGCTCTACCGAGGCACCAGCATGTGGGAGGGTGCGCCAGGCTGCAGCTGGACTTCACCCTCGCACCAAAGCCGCCGCGCCCCCAGGGGTGCGGATGGAAAGTGTGGGTGGGCGGGGGTGGGTATGTGCGTGCATGTGTGTAAAATTACTACTTTTAAAAATATATACTTATTTTTATTTCCCCGTAAAGACCGGGGCGGGCTTTTTCCCCTCAGGATCCTACGATCCCTGCGCTCCTTTCCCCGCCCCCCGCCAGGAGAGACGGG